GCCAGCAGGTGACACAGCCAGAGTCCTTTATTAGTGCATCTAATTTTTATTATGATGAGCATTTTTTCTGTAGGGAAGCATCCAGCCTCCACCTATAGCCCCTAAACCCATGAAATAATCAGGACAGTAGGTTTTTAAAGATTTATAAAAAAATATTTAAAGTACTTGGAGTTAACAGTATTTTCTAAAACTCAGCTGACCTCACAAATGTATAGCGTCCTATATATTAAAAGCCTAATATGCTAAGTGTTCAGTCATCCATTCAACCAGTCAAAGCATAATATGCTAATGATATGCTAAGGCCACTCAACTGCTTGCTATGATGTGCACTGATTTCCATGGAGGCAGATGCTCTGACCAGTAGGTTAGCTTGCTGCTGGGGTCCAGCTGATCGGGACTGGGCAAGACGGGCCGGACATGCCCTGGAGACTTCCTGTGGTCCCTCCATGGCTGGCCAACCTCCCGTGTCCCTCACCGGTCCCGATCATGCACCGGTGGAGTCCCTTGGCCTGCCCTATGCCCTCTCGCAATATGGGACCCCTCGGGGGATGTCGGGGAGCCGGTTTCGGCCCAATGGCTAAACAACCAGTCCCTATGAAGTGCACTGACCACCAGGGGGCAGACGCTCAACACAAGAGCTGCCCCCTGGTGATCAGTGCACTCCCACAGGGGAGCGCCGCTCAGCCAGAAGCTGGGCTCATGGCTGGTGAGCACAGCAGTGGTGGCAGGAGCCTCTCCCACCTCCACAGCAGCGCTAAGCCGTCAGACATCCCCCGAGGGCTCCTGGACTGTGAGAGGGCGCAGGCCAGGCTGAGGAATATTTGTGGAATAAGTCTAAATCCCACCTGTCACAGGTCCTCCCTCGAGGCCCTGACGTGGTTTCTAGCATTTCCCACCAGCATGGGTTTGCTCTTCTTTCTCTCAGCCTGTACGACTGACTCTACCAGCCACCTAGGACTTGACCACGTCCAGTTCAGCACCTCACTGGATTTGGGTCCCTTATTGTCACTTTACATGGTTATGGCCCTTATAATTTTTTATGGAATGCAGGCAACCTTCAAGCGCTCAACAAAGGTGGTGGCTTTGCAGGACCCCCTCCTTGTCCTGGGCCAGGGGAGGAACATAGTTTAAACCTCTGTAAACCACCCAAGGAATCTGAAGGGAAGTGAATGGCCTGGTTGTCCCTGGAAGCAGAAGCTGAGAAAGGCCTAAGTAAGGATTGTTAAAGGGAAGCTGGAAGCACTCCGCCTCACGAACTGCTTCGCTGGGAGGTATTTGGGGAATAAGCTTTTACTTCTCTCTTGCAACATCTCACATGAGATTCCTTTTCAGTAGAGCCCCGTGTCATGTGCAGTAGGGAAGAGGGCAGGAAGCGCCTGCTCTCCCCTTGTCCTCAGGAGGACCCAGTGTGATGGGGGAAGGGACCCTGCGTTAGTCTCCTGGGCTGCCGTAACAGATGACCACGAATAGGGTGGTTTAGAACAAACAAAAATGTATTCTCTCACCGTTCTGATGGCTACAAGTTCAAAATCAAGGTGTCAGCAAGGCTATGCTCCCTCTGAAGGCTCCAGGGAAGAATCCTTCTGTGACTCTTTCCTGGTTTCTGGTGACTGCGGTCACCCCTGGTGTTCCTTGGCCTATAAACACAGCACTCCCATCGGTGCCTCCAGCTTCGCGTGGTCTTCTCCCTGTGTGTCTCTGTGTCCCCACATAGCCTGTAAAAAATTATTACTTTATTTTCCAATTACAGTTTATATTCAATATGATTTTTATTCACATGCCCTGCCTATGAGGACACTGGTCGTATTGGATTTCGGGCCCACCCTAACACAGTATGACCTCATCTTAACTAATTACATCTGCAAAGACCATATTTCCAAATGAGATCATGTTCATAGGTACTAGGGGGATTTGGACTTGAACATATCTTTTCGGGTGGGGTGGGGCAGGGGGAGACACAGTTAAACCCACAACAGAGCTTATGCTGTTAAAGAGATGAGTCTGGTAGGGAGAAAAGACATGTGGAATAGTGGACTTAACACATCCAAACATTATATAAACCAGATATAAAAGAACGTATCTTGGTAAAGCCTAGAAATAACCTACTTTATACCATATATACACATATATGTACATGTACGTATGTATGTATGCAATTTTTTTTTTCAGATAAAGACTCAAATGTGAAAAAACAAACAATAAAACCCTTAGAAGAAAATGTAAGAGTCTACCCTGGGCAGAAAAAGCCTTAAATAAATAGAGAACTTATAAAAGATAAGGTGAACATACCTAACTATGTAAGGCAATCAACAATCATGACATATAAGTCCAGGAAATAGAAATTAAAAGTAGAGATGGAATGTCACTACACTCTTCAGACTAACAAAATGGCAAGAAGCCTTAACCCCTGTTGCTGTTGGGGATGCTTGTATACATGTTCAGTGAGAAGGTGGATTGTTAGAGCCTTTTTAGAAAGCAAGGTGGCAACCTTATTTGGATCCTGATTAGAATGACTGCAAGAAAGCTTTTTTGTTTTGATGTAATAGGGAAATGTGAGCAATACCAAACCATTTGATAATATTAAGGATTTAGGCATGATCATAGTGTTATCGTTATTTTTTAGAGTTCTTTTTTTTCCCCTTAAAGGGTCATACTGAATATTTACTGTTAAAATGATATAACTCCTGGGAGTTTACTTCAGATAATCCAGGGAGGAAGGGGATAGTATAAAGCCAGGATCAAGACACTACAACACAGCCAAATCCAGACCACCACCTGGCTTTTAAATAAAGTTTTATTGAAATGCAGTCACACTCATTTAGTTACATTTTGTTTAGTATCACTGAGGCTGCTTTTGCGCTGCAGCGGCAGAGTTGAACAGCTGCAATGGAGACCATGTGGCCTGCAAAGCCTAAAATATTTACATACTAACTGGCTCTTTACAGAAAATCTTTGCCATCCCTCATCCATAAAGAAACATGTTTGGCTAAAAGTTTGCAATGGTTGATTCTGGGGACTGGTGATGTGAGGACTTATTAGACTAGTCTGCATACTTTTCTGTGTTTGGTCTTTTCCATAATGCAAAGCTTTTTAAAAACTAAAAACAAAACAAAACACATAGTAATCTCATTCCTAGAAATCTGACCCTTGGAAGTAAAAGCACCAATTAATAAGGATATGTGTGGAAGAATGTTTACTACAATGGTTTATAGTGTAAAAACAAAACGAAAAAAAAACTGGAAAGAAATTGCCTTCCAACATGGGAATGCTTGTATAAATCACATCCACCCACACCATGGACTATGATGTTGTCTTTTTAAAGAATGAACTAGAGTGTTGCCATTCCACTTGGTGAATTTTTCATGAGATATTTTCAAGTGAGAAAAGCAAAATGTAGGAAAATCTGAATGTGGCAGTCTGATTTTTGTAGAACAGGGACAAAATTAACCTCTTCCGGTACGTAGGCATGAATGTGTGTGTGTGATATGCATAACAGGTTGTGAACATAGGTTGGGGTAGAATGACATCTGTGGAAGGGAAGCAAAGCAGAACAGAAGAAGGAAAAATCTATACTTAAAAACAGCCTACGCAATATGATTGTATGTGTTTCTTAAGTTATATTCACATGTATATGTGCTTTGCTAAATTAAGAGTTATGGTTTTTAAAATAACTGGAAAGGTCTACATATTTTAATGCCTTTTGATGTGAGGAAATAAAAGGGAATTTGGTTACAAGCTGGAAATTACCCAAGAGTGGAAAAACAAGAGACGAGAGTGACCTGGGCCAGCAAGGGAAGGCTCTTGGGGAAGGTTCTAGTGGTGAGAGGGGGGCGGGTGGAGGCTTTTGAGCCACAGTCGCTCCCTGATCTCAGCGCCTCTTCCTCCTTCTCCCAGAGAAATAATGTTTCCCTGGGGGATGAAAAAGCATCCCTTTGTGCAGGCTTTAATTGCCATGCTGCTGTGCCAAGTGAATGAGTGGCAGGCAGGCACAGCAGCTGGGCACAGCCAATGCCAGGCAGCAAAGCCCGCTGCCTTAGGACAGCCTGGGCCAGCTGGCCTGGGAGCACTGCCCACCTCTGCCCTCCACCCCCCTCACCCCCGCTAGGGGCCCTGCACTGGGACAGTGGGGCAGAAGGGTCTGCAGAAAGGAGAGAAGAGTCATTGGAGGGAGAGAAAGGGGTGGCCCCTGGGAGGGTCTCAGCCACTCTCAGAAGCTTATTCATCTCATCCTCCCCTCTCCTTCCCCTCCCTCTTGTTTTTCAGACTGTCAGCATCAATAAGGCCATTAATACGCAGGAAGTGGCTGTAAAGGAAAAACACGCCAGAAATATCCTTTTGGATGTTGCTTGGAAGACCGACCCTGAGAGGGGTTGAATTATGGGTACTGAGGTCAGGGTGAGGAGTCCTTGCTCAGCTGTGGGAAAGGGAACCCCCACACAGGCCAGGTCCCTGCAGGGTTAGAGCAGCATGGGTGACCTGCAGCTCGCCCAGAGACCAAGGCTCATCAGGGTGGAAGGCACCAAAGTGGCATCTAGGCCAGTTTTTCAGGCTTACCAAGATTCCACCCCACCTCCCGGGACTCCAGCTTCCCAGAACTGTCAAGTCCTTTGAAGTTACTTTCTTCCTCAGGCACCAGAGGGATTTTCACCTGTGCCATCAAAGCACTCCAGGCCCTGCCCTTTGCCTGGAGGGCCACACTGACCACCCCCTTGGGGACATGATCATCTCCCCTTTTCTGACCTCAACAGCAAAACAACGGTCCCAGCTACAGTGGTTGGCCTTACGCCAATGCAGGTGTTCACCCTAAGCCAGAGGGGAAAAGATAGGGACCTCTAGGTGGTGGAGGGAACCAGTGACTTAAAGGTTTCACCACGCCGACTTAGCCAAGGCCCTGGGTGACCACCATTGTGGGTCGGTGGCTTTGGGGAGAAGTGCAGGCAGCACTCTGGGTCCCTGGGGCCCTGCCCCTGAGGTATAGAGTCCAGGAGCTGAAGGGCCGAGTCCTCAAAGACCGAAGGAGGGGCTGCCAGTGGGGCTGAGCCTCCGTGTGTGTGCCAGGGGCAGAGCAGGGCACTGGGCAGAGCGAGTGCAGGCTCGGCTTCTGTCTGGGATGGCAGCTCCTCTTTGCCTGGGCTCGTCATGGTGGCTGCACCTCAGCCCCTGGGGGAGACTCTAGCTTAGATGCCAAAGCTGGCAGGCCCCCAGGAACTGTTGCTAACAGCATGTACTGCTCTTTAGCGGGAAGATACTTTGGTTGGAATTAGGGCTTTGCTCTGTGGTGGGGGCTGTAGAACCTCGCCCTGGTACCCCAGGAGCCTGCCTGACCGTGAGCCAGCCGGATCTTGTTCTTTTATCCCCAGAAGGGCAGAGTCCCCTTGCTTTACTGAGTCAAGAAAACCAAACCAAGAAAAGCCCAACTGATTTTCTCAGCATGACCTTGTCCTGACTCCTACCGGCTCAGGGTTTGTGATCAGTCTGGTGCAAGATTTGAAGTAAAACAGAGACAGTTGTTGTAGGCCAGTGTGCTCCTCTGGATGGGGGATTGGCACAGAGAGGACCAGGCCTGCAGCGGCAGGGCCATGCCACACCCCTCCACGGAGGTCACCTGGGGTGAAGCTGGAGGAAGGGCCCAGGATCCCGCCTCTGGCTTGCTCTGGACCCTGTGGGGCCTCCATGGCCCTTTGTTCCCTTATCTGTCATGAAAGAGTTGGTTGAAGAAGATTTCAAAGGTCTCATGTTCCAGCTCTAATATTCTGTGCATCTCTCTGACTCTCAGTGTCTAAGTGGTGGATAAATAAAGAGCAGCAGCCACCCTGATGCTTCTGGCTTCAGAAATGCTGCTCAGACGGTTGTTTATCCGGGTGCCTAACTGGCAAACAGGTCACTCCCCTTCCCACCACCACCATGGCATCCACTTTTGGAGGCCTGGGGACCGATTCTTATTTTTCTTTATATCCCCGAGTGCCTTTTACAGCTCCCGACACATGATGGGTCACACATTAAAATGCTTATAAAGTCAAAGAAGGACAGAAAGGTCTTCTTGCTTCTTTCAAAATAAGAGTGTCCCGCTCGCTCCACCCCTGCTTCTGTCTCGGCAAGCTGTTCTCAGGTAAACTGCTCACTGCCAGTGTGAGAGGTTATCACAGGAGAGAGAGGGTGCTGCCCATCTCTCTTCTTACTCCCTTGTAGCCCAAGGGGCTGTGTTTTAGGTGAAAGTATAAGTTATTTCAGAAATCACTCCAAGACCAATAGCTGATTTCAGCTTCCGGACCCAAAAGCTCTATGTTCAAGCCCCCGCCCCCTCAAAATGCAGGTTTCCATTTAGGGAAGGAACTTTATGATCCCTTCTAGCTCAGAAGCAAAACAACATGTGTCTGGGTGAATCATATAGTTTGTGACCTGAGGCAAGTCTTTCTGTCCTGAATGGCACCGTGCCTCTTACCTGAGCCTTGATAAAGAGCTTGAAATTCTGAGGGAAGAGCTGTACTTGAGGTTGATGGTGCCCCTTTATCGGATGTGTGTGGCCTGTTTAAGTAGACAACCGCAAAAGAAATGTGGGCATCCTTTACTCACCCCAAAAAGGGCTCACTAATTGCAGAGTCTGGAGTGCTAACTTAAGAGCATGTGAACCCAGACGAACATTTATGACACTCATACTGTGGCAGGTGGTCCCTGGGTAGTGGGTGCTGGTGGGAATTGGATCTTGGGAGGAAGTGGCCCTAGGATTTGACATACAGGGAGTTGAAGGTGTTAAGAGATGAAGGCACCCGTGAACAGGCCAGGATTGTTTATAGAGAGTTGGGGTGTCAGAGTCATTTTAAGTTGAGAGAAAAGACATTTGAACAAACACTTCTGCTTTTGGGGCAAGAGCAAGGTACCCGATAGAGAGGAGTCAGGTGCTGCCGGAGGAGGAGCCAACCAAATCACCTTCCCACTAAAGGCAAACCGGAACCACTGCTGGCCCAGAGAGCACTTATGCAAATTAGGAAAAGACCCCTCCCAAAAGACATTGCCATCTCTGGGGAAATTGTCTAATAAAGTGAATTTTATGAGAACGGGACACTTTATTGGCATCTGTCAAAAAATTGTACAGGACTTTGGTGTGTTCGTTATACGGAGTGTCTCCTCCCAGGTAGTGCCACTGTGCCCTGCACAACTGCACACCCTCTGCAGTAGCCTGTTCGACCCCAAAGATGGGCTGGCTGCCTGAGGCAGGGCCTGTGCTTCGTTTTCCATGACCCTCCTCACCGTGCATACTGGGCACCCACCATGAGAAAGGGGCACAGACCTTTTGGTCTGTCGTCAACCGGCTGCCCCTCTCCAGCAACGCTGTGCTCTGCTGGAAGTTCTGCCACGTGTTCCACAAACTCCTCCGAGATGGACACCCAAACGTGAGTTCCTGGGGCTGCAAGGGATGGGCCAGAGGGCCAGGGAGCTGTGTGGGGAAAGTGTGATTGCCTGGGCCGCTGTCCGCTCCTGCGCTGAGAGTGGCACCTGCCCCTTCTTCTGGCCTTTCGCTTACCGGTCTGAGGTGGGGTTGTCTCTCTCTGATCAGCCTCTCCATCCCTGAGAACCATCTTTCACCATCCGTTGTCTCCTCTCTTCTCATAGGCTGTTCTCTCTCCTCCCCAGGTCCTGAAGGACTCTCTGAGATACAAAAACGAATTGAGTGACATGAGCAGGATGTGGGTGAGTTTGGAGATTTGCACAAGGACTACTTGTGCCTCATTAATCCTTCCCCAGAGACCACAGAACAAGGACTGTGGAATTGGACAAACTCATCTCTTTCAACTTATTTTAAGATCTCTCATGTGCATCAGCGAGGGGTCAAGGGTACCCCCAAATAGTACCATGATACCCACAGTCTTACCTGGGTTCTCTGGAAACTTCTTCTGCCAATGGACCCTTATGTCACAACATTCCCCGGGCATTGGAATCCCCCGGCAGTGACATTGCCACAGTTCTCACCTCTTTGTTTTTACTGGTCCTATTGGGGTCACAATACATTGAGGACTAGCATTCCCACTTCTTAATGCCAGTGCCTTTTCTTTTTCTTTTTTTAAATATATTTTTATTTATTTCAGAGAGGAAGGGAGAGGAAGAGAGAGATAGAAATATCAATGATCAGAGGGAATCATTTATTGGCTGCCTCCTGCACATTGGACCGAGCCCACAACCCAGGCATGTGCCCTTGACTGGAATCGAACCTGGGACCTTTGGATCCGCAGGCTGACGCTCAATCCACTGAGCCAAACCAGCCAGGGCAATGCCAGTGCCTTTTCTTTTCTGCCTAGGGATTCTCAGGAAGAGGGAGGAGGTAGCTGACAATATCAGAATCAATTGAAAAGAGTGTTTTTATGCACGCATCGGAATTCCACTAGATTCTTTTCTTTTTTTTAATATATTTCTTTATTGATTTTTTTAAATAGATTCTTATATCCAAAGAGTATGTGTATGGATAGGGAGTAATCTGCATTTTGAAGAATCTCCCAGGTTGATCCTGATGTGTTCCTTTGCCCCCACTGGTTGAGAATCACTACTTTAGTTCTCCCCTTTAAATTCTTACCTGTATCTGTCTGCACTCACAAAATGTTAGCGATTGTGTAGTCCAGTCTCCCCATTACAGATGAATAACTACAGGCCCAGACAAGAAAGCTGCTTTTCCTAGTTATAAGGCTAGTTCAACTGAACAAAGCTGAGAGCTGTCCCCCAAACTCCCAGCTGGATGCTAGAGAGCTTTCTGTTGTATCCCTAAACATGTAGGCTTAGGCCTTTTTCCTTTTTGTTAGAAATTGCCTGGTATGCCCTTTTCTACCCTTTTACTTTCGACTTTTCCACATTCTTATGTTTTAAAAATATCCCTTGGAAATAGCAATTAGTTGGATTTCGTTGTTGATTTATTAAAGATGGCAGTCTTTGCCTCTTAACTGTGCAGTTGCTCCATTTACATTTATTATAATGCGTGATATGTTTAGATTTATATTTCAGCCTTATTCTGTGCCATTTGTTCCATCTGGTCTGTTTCTATTTCTCCCACCTTGTCTTCAGTTGGATTGATTATTTTTCCTCATTCCATTTTTCTCTAATTGGGAGATTAAAAAAACATCTATTTTTATGTGTTGTTTTTTGGTATGTTATCTAATATTTATAAAATGCATGTTTACTTTATCAAGGTCTAAAATTCATATCTTTATCTGTTTCCTGTATAATACAATGACCTCAGAATATTTTAACTCCATTCACACCTCAACTTGTATGTTATTGTCATATATTTTAATCTTAGTTATTTGTTTCTTTTTAAACCCTATCAGGTATTTTATTCTGTGTTTCTAATGTCTTTTTACATCTTATCTTTTATCTGAGATCACTTTCTTTCTGTCTAAATTATTTCCTTTAGAACTTCCTTTAGTAAAAGTTTGCTTTTGGCCAACAACCATTTTTACTTGTTTGAGAATGTCTTTATTTCACCCTCATTCATGGAACACACTTTCTCTGGGTTTAGAATTTTTGTATGACAGTTATTTTATATCATCACATGGAAGAATATTATTCAGGATATCCTCCCACTGACTTCTGGCTTTCATCATTTTCATGAAGTCTGCTGTCAGACTCGTTGTCTTTTTGAAGCTAATATGTCTTTTTTTATCCGGCCATTTTAAAGATATTAGTACATGTCCATGTGTGGTTCTTTGGGCTTTTTAAGCTGTTGGTTAGTATCTTTCATCAGGTATGAAAAATTCTCATTCTCTCTTCAAATACTGCCTTTGCTATACATTCAGTCTTTTCCTTGAGACTTTGGTTAGAGTATGTTAGACTTTCTCACTTTATCCCCCATCTCACTTTAAACCACTATTTCATTTAAACCACTATTTCTACCTCTTTGCCTCTACACTTCATTCTGGATAATTTCATTAAATCTGGCTTTCAGTTTACTTGTTCCCTCTTCAGCCGGCTTTAATCTGATTGGCCCTACATATATTTTGAAACAGTCTCTTATTTATTTAGACATAGTGATTTCATAAATCATTTTTAATATTTCCATTATCTAAAGCCCTTAAGAGACCTGTTTCTGGCATCTGTTGTTTTTTTGTGAATTCTGCTCATAGTATGTAGTTTCTTTCTGTGTTTAGTTATTTCTTACTGTGAGCTTCTCCTTTTCCTTAGAACTTTCTCTGTGGGAAGTCTTTGGAGTCTGCAGGTTCCTCTGGAGAGAATTGGCATTTGCTTCTGTTGACCACTCTTAAGTTCTCAAGGTTTTGTGACTTCCGGGCAGAGCCTCTTGAGTATTAGCTCATGAGTCCAGTTCTCAGCAGCAGTTTTTCCTCCTTCTGATCACAACAGTGGTGTGAGGCGGCCGAATTTCTCTGTAGTCCACATGGAGGACTCCTTCAGTGCAGGAGCGTGGAAATGTGTGGTTACCGACTTACCCTTAGTTCCGCTGAACAAAGGAGGCAGCCTTTGGCTCTTCAGTAGACTCTTCAACTTGGGCAGAGCCCTGCCTTCTGTTTACCACCTGACCCTTGAGGCCCAGGAAATCAAAGCTCAAGTTCACCTGCTCTGGCAAAGTCCCCTCTCCCCCCAACTCTATTAATCCAGTAATCCATTTACTCTCCAAGAATCTGTGTTTACTCAGTCCCTGGCCTATGGATTCCTTACTCTCATTAATTCAGTAATACCTTCAAAAAATTTTAAGTATCTTCCCAGTATTGTCAGTTTTCAGTGGGAAGGTCAACCCAGGTAGCTAGCCTGCCTTGTTATCCAAAATAGAATTCCTTTAGGTCTTTTTCCCTATGTAGTCTATTTCTCTCATTTGCCTAAGAGTTTCTGAAATTAGCAACCTCTCTTACTTTTTTTTTTTACAGCAGTTTTAGGTTCACAGCAAAATTGACAAGAAAATACAAAGATTTCCCATATACGCCTTGCCACCCCCAGCACACATAGCCTCTCCTATATCAAAATCCCCACCAGAGTGGTGCATTGATTACAATTGAAGAACCTACATTGACACATCATAATCACCCAAAGCTCATAATTTGCATTATAGTTCACTCGTGGTGTTGTATATTCTTTGGGCTTGGACAAATGTGTAATGACATATATCCATCATTGTGGCATCATACAGAATATTTTCACTGAGTTAAATAAAAATCTATATTCCACTTATTCATTCCTCCCTGTCCCCTGCCCACAACCCCTAGCAACCACTGATCTTTTTACTGTCTCAGTGCTTTTTCTCAAATGTCATACAGTTGGAATCATATAGTATGTAGCCTTTTCAGATTGGCTTTTTTCACTTGACAATATAGATTTAAGTTTCTTCCACGTCTTTTCATGGCATGATAGCTCATTTCTTTTTTTACCCTTAATAATATTCCATTGTCAGGATACATGACAATTGGTTGATCCATTCATCTACTGAAGGACTTCTTGGTTGCTTCCAATTTGGGCCAATTATGAACAAAGCTGCTATAACCACCCGTAGGTAGGTTTTGAGTGGAAATAAGTTTTCAGCTCCTTTGGGTAAAAACCAAGGAGCACCACTACTGAGTCATATGGTAAGAGTGTGCTTAGTTCTGTTAGAAACTGCCAAACTGGCTTCCAAAGTGGCTGTACCATTTTGCATCCCACCAGCAATGCAGGAGGGTTCCTATTGCTCCACATCCTTACCAGCATTTGGTGTTGCCAATGTTCTGGATTTTGGCCAATCTAACAGGTGTGTAGTGGTGTCTTGTTTTAAATTGCATTTCCCTGGTGACATGTGATGTGGAGCATCTTTTTGTATGCTTATTTGCCATCTGTATTTTTTTTTTGGCCCATTTTTAAATTGAGCTATTTGTTTTCTTATTGAGGTTTAAGAGGGGTTTTTTTTGTGTGTGGGTGGTTTGTTTGTTTGTTTGTTTGTTTTTGTATATTTTGGACAGTAGTCTTTTATCAGGTCTGTCTTTTGCAAATATTTCTCTCCGGTCTGTGGCTTATCTGTTCATTCCCTTGATGTTGTCCTTTGTAGAGCAAACGTTTTTAATTTTAATGAAATCCAGCTTATAAATTAATTTTTAACAGATGGTATCTTTGGTGTTGTGTCTAAGATGTCATCACCATACTCAAAGTCACTAGGTTTTTCTCCTGTGTTATCTTTTAGGATTTTTTAAAAATATATATTTTATTGATTTTTTACAGAGAGGAAGGAAGAGGGATAGAGAGTTAGAAACATCGATGAGAGAGAAACATCAATTTAGCTGCCTCCTGCACACTCCCCACTGGGGATGTGCCCACAACCAAGGTACATGCCCTTGACCGGAATCGAACCTGGGACCCTTTAGTCTGCAGGCCGATGCTCTATCCACTGAGGCAAAACGGTTAGGGCCCTTTTAGGATTTTTATAGTTTTGTGTTTTACACTGAGTCTGTGATCCATTCATTCATCTTTTACTTTTTGATCCTGTGCATTTTCATGTGAAGGATAGTTGTCTTTGGTGGTGAGAATACTTTTGCTTCTTTTCAGTATTTTCCTATTTTTCTATAATAAATAAGTATAATGTAAAAATTAATCAGGTTAATTTTCATAGAAAATTATGAAGTACTCATGTGTAGAATTTACATCTGATTATTCAATTCCCTTTGGTGTCCTTTAAGGCCTGTTTCAACAGGGTTTCTCTACTCTAGAGGATATAGATACAATTAAAAGAAAACAAAGTCAAAACTCATGTGAAAGCCACAGCTACTCGGTTGAAGGGTTCTTTGTGGATGTGGGGACATTTTGTATATAACTAGGAGTTCCCAGCATTACTCTGCTAATCCTAGCTTCCTCCCAAGCACCCAGGACATGACTGCGTGGGCAGGCTCTATGGGAATGCTTGTTCTTCACCTGCTAGAATTGGTTTCATTTAAAATCCCCACCCCATGTCTAATACGGTAGATGGCCTTAATCCGTTGGAGTCCCGCTGGAGGAGGTGTTTCCTCTCCTGTGTTTAGAGAGACAGAAGGAAAGAAATAGCCCATAGCCAGACTGTGATTACTAAGACCAGGAGACTTAAAATTCTTAAATAAGCTCTTGTATAGAATTTATCCAGAAAAGTCCTCATGTTTGTATATAAGATTATACTATAAGAATGAACAGTAGGGAGTTGGTTTGATAAATTATATAGTACATACTTATAATATACTGGGAAGTCACTAAAAAGAGTGTTACAGAAAAAAATTTAAGACGATAGAAAAAAATTGCAGTATATTAAAAAGGCAAATTGATTCCGTTTTATATTTTAAAATAAAGGTGGAGCACAGAGGATTTTTAGGGCTGTAAAACTACTCTATATGATATTATAATGGTAATACATGTCATTATACATTTGTCAAAACCCATAAGATATACAATATCAAGAGTGAACCCTATGGAGTTTCCTCAGAAAACTAAAACTGGAACTCCCATTTGACCCAGTGATCCCACTTCTAGGAATATATCCCAAGAAACTAGAAACACCAATCAAAAAGGATATATGCACCCCATATATGCTATATGTTCATAGCAGCACAATTTACAATAGCTAAGATTTGGAAACAGCTTAAGTGCCCATCAACAGATGAGTGGATTAAAAAACAATGGAATAGTACACTGCTATAAAAAAGGAAGGAACGCCTACCATTTGCAATAGCATGGATGGACCTGGAGAGCATTATGCTAAGCAAAATAAGTCTGTCAGAGAAAGATAAATATCACATGATCTCACTCATTTGTGGAATGTAATGAACAACAAACTGATGAACAAAAACAGATCCAGAGACAGAGAAGCATCGATCAGACCGTCAAACCTCAGAGGGAAAGTAGGGGAGGGTCGGGGGCAGGGGGAGAGATCAACAAAGGGTCGGGGGAAGGGGGAGAGATCAACCAAAGGACATGCATATAAGCCAAACCAATGGACATGGACACCAGGGGGGTGAGGGCATGAGCAGGGGTGTGGATGGGGGGGAATGGGGGGTTAAGGACACATATGTAATACCTTAAGCAATAAAGAAAGGGAAAAAAAGAGTGAACCCTAATGCCAAATTTATTTTTGATGATAATGATGTGTTAATATAAGTTCACCAATTGTAACAAATGTCCTACTCTGGTGTGGGATGTTGACAATTGGGGAGGTTGTGTGTGTGCAAGGGGTATATAGGAAATCTCTATACGTTCTGTTTAATTTGCTGTAAAGCTAAAACTACTTTGAAAATAAAGTCTATTTGAATTGGAAAAAAGAAAATATGTAACATTTTGTACCCCAAAGTGTTAGCCATGATTATATCTGATGTTCACATCTATTCTTCCCTATATTTTCCAAATTGTTAACAATGGACATTTGTTATTTTCATAATCAGAAAAAATATATATTTTTAAAAATGAAGTCCTGGCTGTAGGTCTTTCAACTCACCCTACTGTCTCTTCTCTTTCTGAAGGGCCACCTGAGTGAGGGGTATGGACAGCTTTGCAGCATCTACCTCAAACTGCTCAGAACGAAGATGGAATACCACACCAAAGTGAGTCTTTGCTGACAGTTCTGCTCTCTTTCCCCTCCCCCTGTCTCCTCAGCACCGCGATGACGTTAATAGTCAGGTCTTCCAGGTAATAAGACAGCCTGGCTCAGGGAGTATTTATACCACCTCCCAGCTGTGTGAGAGGAAACATTTTATAGGACAGCCATGGTCAGGCCCTGGGATATGGCCCGTGTCTTCTGCACCATTTTGGAAAGGAGGAGGAACCCTATCCAGTAGGTTGCCTTATGGAAATATTTTGGAAGCACTGACTTTACTGTTAATAAAAATCATTCCTTCCATTTATGTAGTGAGTTTTCACACAGAACCTTCTATAACTTTGGTCAGTATTTCTTATGTACCTAATGCATGTAAAACTGTGTGCTTGGTACCAAATGGCAGGTAAGAATAAGTAAAAAGGGTGCTCTTCGGCATTTGCAGATTCGCTGGGAAGAGGCTTATGTACTTAAGCACCCGTGTATAGTGCGAAGCAGCTACATGTGTCTGTGCCCGTGGAAAAATGCAGAGATGTTTTGAAATGCCTGAGGATTACGGTGTTTGAAGGGGCACCATGAAGGAAGGGGGCTTGATGTGGACCTTGAAGGGTGGGTGTGGTGCATTTGGTGGTGGGATGGCATGCCAGGCGGGAGAGAAACCACCTGAATTAGGGAGCTGGCAATACAAATGGAGAAGGAAGGACTGTTAAGAAAAAAATAACACCTTTAGTGTCTTTTATCTCCATTATCTTTTATTAACTTAAAGGGTAGCTTTGATTCATTGAATCCATCCTAGTCTATTAAACCTTTTCTGTACATCACCTAATCCTCACAACAACCCTACAAAAGTAGCTATTATTACATCCTAGGAAAATGAAACTCAGAGAGTGGTTGAGTCCCTTGCCTGAGTCACGTAGCTTCTCAGTAGGGAGGTAGAGATTTGAACCCAGGCCCATATGACACTACAGCCTGTGCCAGTTAGTGGCCACCCTTACCTCCCCTCAGGTCTCATTGAGTGCCTGCCAAGGACCAGAGCTAGTAGGCTCTGAAGAGAGAAAGGTGAATAGACTTTGGCCCTGCTTCTGGGAGTCGTGGTTTGGTTGGGAGAGAAGTGATAGAGGGAGAGAAGATACTAGTAGACTGCAGTAAGGATGAGAATTGAGAGAAGCAGGAGCTGGTACAAAAGCACATAGAGGCTCTGGTTTAGATTGAACCAGGTAGCTTCTCAGAGGCAGTGTGACACCTGAGCTCAGTCGTAGGGTGTTACAGTTGTCTATGCTGCACAACACAACACCCCAAACTAGTGTCTGGCACTAACAGCAGTCCTTTACTATCTCACACTTTCTGTTGGTCAGGAGATCTGGAAGAGCCTGGTGGGGCAGCTCTAGCCACAGGTCTCATGTAGTTGCAGTCAGATGCTGGCTGGAGTGCAACAGTGGGGGGCTGGCCTGCCAGCTCTCTCTTCCTGGAGGCTCAGAGCTAGTCAGGACTTCCTCACAGCCTGGTGAAGTTTCCAAGAGAATAAGGTGGAAGGGCATTTTATTTTATTGTTAATCCTCCCTGGAGGATATTTTTTCCATTGATTTTTATTTTTTAGAGAGAGTGGAAGGGAGGGCGGAAGGGAATGGGAAGAGAGATAGAGACAAACAGATAGACATTGATGTGAGAGAGATACATTGATTGGTTGCAAGCACTTAACTGGACCAGGAATCAACTCGTGACACTTCAGTGTGCGAGCCAATGCTCTAACCACTGAGAAACACCGGCTAAGGCTATGTAGAGAGCTTCTGAGGTGTCATGTTCTGACTTCCTTTCTCTGTTTCCCTTCCAGAATCCCAGGTTCCCAGGCAACCTTCAGATGAGTGACCGGCAGCTGGACGAGGCTGGAGAAAGTGATGTTAACAACTTGTAAGTGGCTGTCCTCGTGCTCTGGACCCAGTGGGGAAGAGAGCTTTTGTGGAATCTCTCACTTCCCATTAGGCTCACTTCTCAGAGTACCTGATGGAAGAGGCTGGGGCTGGGGTGGGGACTGAAGGCCTTGGGGCCACTTACTGCTGATGCCTTATCCAGAACCCTTCCAGGTTGTCTCACACTTCAGCTCTATCCTCTGGTCCCCTCCACCCTCCCAATGCATTGTGGTACCTGCCCTCTCCCTTTGCCACTGTCACTATTGAATTCACCCTGCTTGTTCTTCAGATGGCCTCAGTACCCACTTAGGTGGGAGCTAAGAACTGGAGCTGGTGTGTGTGTGTGTGTATGTGTGCGCGCGCGCGCCTGCACCTGCATATGCACATTGGGGTTGGAAGCAGCAGCACAGAGTGTGTGTGTGGGGGGGGAGGTGGGGAGCGGGGGGGCAGGTTAAGTGCTCGCTTTGGGAGCATCAGCTCTCTTTCTTCTTGGGTCTAGTTTTCAGCTAACAGTGGAGATGTTCGACTACCTGGAGTGTGAACTTAACCTCTTCCAAACTGGTGAGTCTCTCCCACCCATCTGGCCCAGGCTTCCATGGGAATTGCCTCCTTCCCAGCCTTGTTCCCGACTTGGACCGGCCAGGCTTGTCCGCCTCTCCCTACGAGCTGCATAGCACAGGGTCAGGAGCATGGAGACACAGGCTCTCGTCCCTCTTGCAGAGAGGGGCTGAAGCTCTGGGGCATTTTCAGAGTCAGTGATTTCAGATCTGAGCAGGATGACCGCACTCCCCAGCTCACTGGCTTCACCCCTGAAGTCCAGGCCTCCAAGAGCCCAAAGACAGGTCTGGCCTCTTTGACAGCCCATGGACTATGGCCCCAACATTGGCTGGTCCTTGGCCAGCCCTGTCTGCTGCTCAGCCAGGCTGGCACTCGGGCTCCATTTCTGTCAGAAGGGCTGCTGTCTGCTGTTTGGTCAGTAGCCAGGTTGAGTTGGGTTGTTACCGAAGGCCACATGAGAAGTCCTAATCCCCTGGTGCAAGAGCGCTGGGGACTCCCTCCTGCTGAGAGTTCTGGTGCCTCTAGGCCAGTGATGGCAAACCTATGACATGCGTGTCAGAGGTGACACGCAAACTCATTTTTTTGGTTGATTTTTCTTTGTTAAATGGCATTTAAATATATAAAATAAATATCAAAAATATACGTCTTTGTTTTACTCTGGTTGCAAATATCAAGAAATTTCTATATGTGACACGGCACCAGAGTTAAGTTAGGGTTTTCCAAAATGCTGACACGCCAAGCTCAAAAGGTTCGCCATCACTGCTCTAGGCTGTCAGCCCCTAACACTTCCTGACAAGACTTGAGAGGGAAGCAGCTGGTTCCCTTGTCTCCTGTGTGCTCTCATCCCTACACTTCCCAGCATGGCTCTCCCTTCTGTCGCTGGGGAATGGAAGAGCCAGTTTTCTGAGATTCAGGATGTTCTGTGACAAGTGTCCAGCTCTGTGAAAGCACAAGTATGTGTGCACAAGCTTGGCGACCTCAGCGTTTGGGTATGTAGGCCACTTCGGGGCTTTGATTCTCATGAAAAACAGAAACTCTCTCACCCTAAGTTGCAGCTTTTTGCAGTAAGTTCATCTATGTAGCAAATCATTACAACTGGCCAGTTAATTCCAGCTGTGCCAAGGCAGCAACTCCTTGATACTTTGACTAATCAGTTCAGTGCAGGATGTGGTCAGAGGAACACCAGAAACAGATGGAAACTATGGTTTGTGGAAGAAATAAGAAGGCACTGGGCCTACTAGCAACCTGTTTGAGCAGAGTCTTCCACAGAAGGCAGTAGAGGAGTAAAAATGAAACAAAATCCAGTCCCTGCTGTAAGGCATTCCCAGCAAGATAGGAGAAATGGTGTAGTGGCGAATTTTTTTTCTTAATGCATTAGAAATCTTCCCATAAATGTATACAAACAACTACACGTTGTTGGGGCTGACTTTCAGTTATTGCGCTCTGGGCAGGAAGGGCCTGGGGGAATAAGTCAGAATTGATTGACATTCAGCTATGGAATGTGCTTAATTGAAAGCAGGTATGAGTGATATTCTAGGGATTGTCATCCTTGGGAGAGTCAGCCTCGAAGTTGCCACTGAGCTGACCCAAGCTCTCTTCCAGAAGCTCTGGCCTTCTCAGTCTGCCCGCCACTGCAGTCGTGGGTGGGGAAAACAAGGCAAATGTTTCAGCCTTTGGGGCTGTCCCTTCCAGTCACTGGCAAACGGTTGGAGTTAGAGTAAGCGAAGGAGTGGTAACACCCGCTAGGATGTGACGAGGCTGGGAGGATGAGTAAGTGGTGCAGGCAAATGCCGCACCCCAGGTGGCCAGCCTGCTCCCGCCTCCCATGACACCTGGCTGCTCTTATCTGCATTGTTCACTTGTATTGTTACCACTAGATGCTGAGCTTCTCCTCAGAATCAGGAACCGTGCCCTACTCATCTCTGTTCTAGCCCAGTGCCTGGTCTAGAGCAAGCACTCAACAGCAAAGTTTGAGGATGCTTGCCTTAGATGAGCAGCAGTGAAGAAACAGCAGGTGAACAGAGTTCATAACATGGTGACAGCATCTGGCTGAATGCTCTGGGCTTATCAGGTGATTAGCTACTTAGAGTTTTCTAGAGGACAGCCACCCTGTTGGCACAACCTTTCCAAGGATGTTGGTGGCCTTCTCGTCCCTGAAAGAGCCCTCATTTGGAATCGAGAGCCCCCTTCTGCCTGTCTGCCCTGCTGCCTGCCCTGTCCCTGATCACCTGCTGTGTGACACAAAAGCCATGAAGGTGGTGTCGGAGGAAGTTCTCCAGCTTTTAAGTCCTGATCTGTGACTCCGTGAGGTTCCAACGGTACCCTCAGGAGAATGCCCCTGGCTTTCAGCTCTGGGAGATGGACCAGTTACAGTTAACATTTATTTTGAGCACTTACAGTGGTTCTCAAACTATCCCTGGACCAGCAGCGTTAGCATCACCTAAAAAACTTGTTAGAAAAGCATGTGCTCAGGTCCCACCCGACACAGTGGATCTGGGACTGAGACCCAGCAAGGAGTGTCCTAACAGGGCCCCCAGCTCTGCACTGTCCAGTATGGCAACCACTAGCCATGTGTGACTATTTAAGTTAATTACAATTAGCCCTAACCCATTTGGATCAGTGGCTAGAGCTTCAGCCTGCAGACTCAAGGGTCCCAGGTTCAATTCTGGTCAAGGGCATGTACCTTGGTTGTGGGCACATACCCAGTAGGAAGTGTGCAGGAGGCAGCTGATCGATGTTTCTCTCTCATTGATGTTTCTATCTCTCTCTCCCTCTCCCTTCCTCTCTGTAAAAATTAATAAAATATATTTTTAAAAAAAGAAAGGAAGTTTAGAAACCATGCAATGTGCTTTTAAAAAAACAAAAAAGTGAGGTCCTACCCAGCCAGCATGGCTCAGTGGTTGAGGGTCGACCTATGAACCTGGAGGTCACGGTTTGATTCCAGTCAGGGCACATGCCCGGGTTGCAGGCTCGATCTCCAATGTGGGGTGTGCAGGAGGCAGCTGATCAATGATTCTCTCTCATCACTGATGTTTCTATCTCTCTCTCCCTCTCCCTTCCTCTCTGAAATCAATAAAACTATATTTACAAAAAAAAAGTCAGGTCCTCAGTTGCACTAGGCATATTTCAGGCACTCGGTAGCCATGTGTGGCTAGCATGTTGGATGGCATATTTGGAACACTTCCATCATCACAGAATTCAACTGGCCAGTGTTACGGGGTGATTCTAATGCTTGCTACAGTTTGAGAACCACTGAGCTAGAAAATACAGCTTTTGACTGGCTGCATAGTAGAATCACCTGGGGAGCTTTTGAAACCTACTGATGCCCAGTCCTACTCCAGACCAGTAAAACAGAATGAAGGTGTGGGGGAGTTGCAGGCAGACATTAGTAGTTTTTAAATTTCCCCAGATGATTCTAATCAATCTCAAAGCCAAAGTTTAGAACCACTGCCCAGTACTACACACTTTCCACAACATTTTCATTTAATTCTTACAAGACCTCTATGAAGTATGTGCTATTAGAACCATCTGCATTTTATAGAAAATCATCTGTTGGCACGAGAGGTTGAGTAACGTGTCCATGGTCACATTGCAAGTCTCGATGTTCCTGGATGCCAAGGGCCATTCCTAGAAAGCAGCGTTAGGCCTGGAGGTGGAGCACTCTGTAATTCCCTGCCAGAGTGGAGCCTAAGCAAGCCAGAAGAATTGAGGATGGCTGCCTTGCAGTGACAGCTGCTTTTAATTTGTGTCAAGAAAAGCTGCCTTTTAATTAGAACCGTTTGGGGTTTTTTCCCAGCTGCCGGACTAAGCCAGTTAACAGGGATTAGTACAGTCGGGCAGGCCAGGCACAGCAGCTCTGGGTTTTCCTTCGGGGCAGCCCCACTCACTGAGGGACTGCAGAGGTCTTTCGTTGCCAGCCATGTGTGTACTTCTGAAGGTGGTGGGTAGCCACTGCAGACAGGACATGGGCCCAGGCCACTGGTTTGTGCTGAGGGTTGACAACCAAGCATCTCGTTGCTTGGTTTAGGAGCAAGTGCAGGGAGTTAATGTGGAGGGGTCGCGGGAGCAAGACACTGAGGGAGCAACTTGCTCTCTGGAGCTTGGGAGAATGCAGGGCAGTACTTCTGTTGACCTGCTCCAACGACCTCACCAGCATGTGATCCTGATGGCTATCCTCCTCCCAGTGCCTGGCATGGGTTCTTGCAGGCTCTCCAATCATTCACCCAAGGCTCTGGCACATCCCCCCTTTTGCTGCCCCAACAACCCTGTGGTGAGCCACCAGGAACCCAAGGCTGACTTACTCCCTTCCTCATGTTCTGATCCATGTTTGAGATGTTCCCCACATGTTAACTAACTATTGCCACCACCAGATTGGCTGCTTCTCAGGGTCAGGGCTACCATCAGACTGTTCATGCGTGAGAGGAAGGGCTGGATTGGCTATCTCAGCAACCCCTTCAGTCCTGAAATTCTGATGTCCCGTAGAGCTGAGGCGTTCCGTCTCCTCATTACTATTAAATCAGAAACTAGAAAATGAGGTGTCAATCTCTCTGATCAGCCTGGGCCAGAGGCCACGAAGCTCCTCTAGGAGGGATCCCCCTCATTGAGGTAAGGGATTTACCCACCAGGCTCTGGGTAAATCCCTTCTTTCCTGGCTTCACAGGGCTGTGCACAAAAGAGCAGAGCTCACCTCTTCATGACAGGAGCGCCTCGGCTTATGGGAGCACAGGCTTCGGTCCGGCAATTGCTGGCCACACAGGCGCTATCTTTTAATTCCCTCTCTCAGCAAAACCAGTTTGTTTGTTTTTTGTTTTTTTCTAAAATCAGTTCTTGGCTTTGTGACCACTTTCAAGTCACTTACTGTCAGTTCCCTCATGTGTGTACCAGGGTACTTTTAATTGTCTTGTAGGAACAGTGTAAGGTGTAAGTGCATTAAATACGATAGTGTATGCCCAGAATAGGTCCTCAGTCTATGTGAGACCCCTGCCTTCTGCCCTCTGAGAAAGTCACCTATAGTTTCCTAGCTCCACTACCTCTCCCCCTTCTTTTATTTTCTAGTGTTCAACTCCCTGGACATGTCCCGCTCTGTATCCGTGACGACAGCTGGGCAGTGCCGCCTTGCCCCGCTGATCCAGGTCATCTTGGACTGCAGTCACCTCTATGATTACACTGTCAAGCTTCTCTTCAAACTCCACTCCTGTGAGTACACTGGCCAGATCTTCTCTGAGCTTCTGGCTGGAAGGAAGAGCTCAGCCTGAGGCTGTCCCTGCAGAAAGGCAGCTCCTCAGTGGCCTGAGCTTTCAGCCTCTGTTCCAAACAGCCCTGGGGCTCTCAGCCAGCTTGAGCAGAGCAGGGTGCGAACTTTGGTGTGCCCAGTGAAGCACCTGGCTTGCCACAGAGGTGTCCCAGGATGGTCCTCTCTCTCCATCCCTGGCTTTACCTCATCTCCATCCATACACGTCATGTATTCTATGAACCACACAAATGATGACAGACCTGGCTTTAGACTATTAGAGAGAAATATAAAAATTTTATATTTCTCTCTAAAATATAAAAATTTTATATTTCTCTCTAAAATTCCATTTGTACAAAGAGACTGTGTTGATGAACACTTTGAAAACCACTGCCTTTGCTGCTTTCGGTGATTTTCAAAGTGTTCATCAACACAGTCTCTTTGTACAAATGGAATTTTAGAGAGTAATATAAAATATAAAACGCCTGCTCAAGTAAATGGAGTGCTTATCTTGACCTAGCCACAGATCTTTGGGATGCTTTTGCAGAATCGATTTTTGAGATTACTGGTCCTGCAGAAGTTCTTATACCTTCATGTGCTTTTGGTTTAAAACGATGAATCTGATGTGGGGGTAGCCCGGGCCTCACACCAAGGTGGCCACAGTGAAGGGTATACACATGCAGAAGGTGGAGGTGATGGAAACCAAGAAAAATCAAGACATAAATGGTACTAGCAAGGTGTATTTTAGAATTCTCGGACAAGGGGCACTCTGGAACTGTGGTCACTGACAAGGACTGGGTCTGGTTGCTTAGGACAAGGGAGCCGTCATTACTCTGAATCCAGGAGGTTTTGGTGGAAGGGAGGTTGGAATTCGATGTTCAAGAATTAAAAGGGCTTTGGAGCAGATGGGCATGTCTGAAGGGAGCAGAGATTGGACTAAATTCCAAGAGAAAGTGGGCAGTTACTTAGAAGCTCTGGATATAGATGAACTTGTAATTGTTTCTAAGATGCTATGGGACCCAGTTTCCCACTAGAACAGTGGTCGCCAACCTTTCAGACCCCACAGACCACCAGTGGTCTGCAGACCACCGGTTGGCGACCGCTGCACTAGAACATCCCCACTTTCTTATAAAGTGGTGAGTTATGAGAAGAGACAGGTAATTAAGTATTTGGGTTTAAAGACCTTCATTAAAGGCAAAGCAATAAACAAGACCCTCCTGGATGGCCTCCGGGAACTCGATAGCGTGGAAAAAAAAGTGAGAGACACTCCATACAGTATATACTTTCCTAAAAATAAAATTTTATTTTAGAATAGTTTAGAACTACAGAAAAGTTGCAGGTGGTTCAGAATTCCATATACTCCCATCGCAGTTTTCTCTATTGTCAACATCTTAGATTAGTATGATATATTTGTCACAACTAATGAACTGACATTGATGCATTACTATTAACTGAAATCCATACTTCCTTCAGGTTTCCATAGTTTTTACCTAATGTCATTTTTCTGCCCATGGTCCCATTCAGTCATGGCTCCTTAGTCTCCTCTCGGCTGTGACAGTTTCTTAGACTTTCCTTGTTTTTGATGGCGCTGACAGTTTTGAGGAGTCCTGGTCAGATATCTTGTAGCATGTCCCTCGATTTGAGTCCGCCACTTTTCTCGTGACTGGACTGGAGTTCTGGGAGACAGATCACCAAGGTAAAGTGCCGTTGCCACCCACTCTATACTTCTTCCATTTTGGATTATCAGACCTTATACATGTACTACCTCTTTATACCAAATGAATAGATCACCTAGTCCCGTGGTCGGCAAACTGCGGCTCGCGACCCACATGCGGCTCTTTGGCCCCTTGAGTATGGCTCTTCCTAAGCCTTAGGAGTACCCTAATTAAGTTAATAACAGTGTACCTACCTATATAGTTTGAGTTTAAAACATTTGGCTCTCAAAAGAAATTTCAATTGTTGTACTGTTGATATTCGGCTCTGTTGACTAATGAGTTTGCCGACCACTGACCTAGTCAATAAGATTTAAATTTTAAAAATAAAACAAACAGCCTGGCTGGTTTGGCTCAGTGGATAGAGCGTCGGCCTGTGGACTGGAGGGTCCCAGGTTCGATTCTGGTCGGGGGCACATGCCTGGGTTGCAGGCTCTGTCCAACGTGCAGAGGGCAGTCAATCAATGATTCCCTCTCATCATTGATGTTTCTATCTCTCTCTTCCTCTCCCTTCCTCTCTGAAATCAATAAAAATATATTTAAAAATAAAACAAACAAAAAATAAAAGGCTGAGTTGTGCTCTATAACTGAAATACACAGAATCACACATCCTGTGAGGCGAAAGGACCGTAGAGAAAACCCACTCAGGAGGAGGCTGCAGCTTGTCCCACATCACAGAGTTAGCAGAACCAGGTGGACACTCGGCCTAATCTTCTGAGTCTCAGTCCATGGTCTTTCTTCTGACAGGCATCCTCTCAGGCAGGCTCTGTGCGTTTTTTCCAGACTAATGTCTACGCTGGCCCTCATCCAGGGTACCCAGTGCAAACACCTCTGGGAAGAGCCCTCATCCCCCTCTCTCTGAGGCCAGCTGTGGTCATTCTGCTGCTTGGCCAGGTCACCACTTGCTTCTTCCATGGTCAGGGACACAGCTTCCAGTCCACTGTGTCCAGCATGGCTTGCACTTTAGGAGTGAACAGAAGGAAAGATTTGCAGGATAAGCACCCAGACTCCCCGTTGGTCCTATTGAGCCTCCTTGCATACCA